TAGAAAAGTACTGACCCTCCCTTGTTTTTCCCCAAAACGGCACAGTTTCGGGAGCAAAGAAGGGTAGCGGACCATAAAGGAAGCGAAGAGAAGTGGCATCTCTTTTTTTTATAGTATAATTTACACTATAAAGATAGTCTTATATTTATGATGAGAGGAATATCATATGTGTCCAATTCGGAGTCCGTGGCTTCTCTTTCCTGCAAAGATGTCCCTTCTGATAATTGAAAATTTGAAATCTATATCCAAAGAGATCTAGCAGATTTTATACCGCTTGATCAGCTCTTTGTTGGCTTAAATAGTGATATACTCATTTAGTTTTTAATATAGAAACTAATTGTTGAGTTGATTTTAGTTTTAAATATAAAATCTATATTTTATATTTATCAGTTTTTTCTAAATTATTTTTACGGATACTCCCTCAACCATAATCAAGTAGAAAAAGGAGAGAGAATATTAAGAAAAATAATTATGGTGTTTTAGAAAAAAAATGTCATATTTTTTATAATTAACTAACTTATCTAACTTTTTTAATCTAATCAAATTAGTTAAATAGGGTTTATATTAAACACCAGATGACTATTTATTATATATACACGAACATATATTGAACCGGGAGCTTCAGTCCGGTTTTTCAACCCTGATAAATATTCGTGTGTGGCGTGTGGGTGTTTTTTTTCCGAGAATCCTAGACCTGGGATACGTAGGGAGCCGCCCAGAAACATTTTAATTTGGAGCATTTTACATTTTTTATTAATTTATTTAAATTTTTTATAAGAATCAATTTATTGAAATTGTTATTGTTAATATTTATTAAATTAATATAAATAATTATGTTTATAAATATTAATTACTCAAATTGATGATTAAAGAAACATAACATAAAAATTATTTAATTAAATGTGTGTATTTTTATATGAAAAGTAAGGAACAAAAAACCGAATTGGATGCTAAATTGGTTGAGGTAGTAATTCAATGGTCAATGGGTCAGATCAAATCAGGATCAAACAGGTTATATTAAAATAATAAAATTTAATTGAAAATAACAAAATATAATAATATTAATAATCACTAATGACAAAATATAAAAAAAAAAATAACAATAATTTGATTGCAACAATAACAAAATATAATAGCATTAAGAATTTTAACCTTTATGATTCTTTAATAACTAAAATTAATAATCATTAATAATAAAATTATCATTAAAATTCATTCAAATATATAGTGAAATATTTGAAGTTGAATGAGAAAAAATAAGACTAATAGTAAAATAATCATTTAAACCGATTCATCACCGGTTTTCGCCAGTTTGCACCGGCTAGCACTGGTTTGACTAGATTGATACAGGTTCATTTTATGACTGGTTCACTTCTTAAACCGAACCAGTATACGAAGTAAATATATAAAAAAATTTGTCTCGATTTACAAAAAAATACTTTTGAAAAGCACTTTTACACTCATCCAAACACTCCCTAAATTGAAAGGATTTGAATTATTGATACTAGCTAGTCACACTCCATTCAACCTTTATCATTTGTGCTAACTTCAAGTGACTCACTTTCTAATATTTTCATTCATTAAAGACTTTCTTTCATTGTCTCAACATAATAGTATGCATATCAAAGAAAAGTCTCCCAAAGTATGTTTTATTCTTGTTTACTTAAATGTAAAAAAAATAAGCACATTTCTTTTGGAAATAAGTCTTCTGAGTGGGTGTGAGATAAAATAACAACAATAAAAGAAAAGGAAAAAAATAGAGGAAGAATAAAAATAAAAATAAAAGAACATAAGGTTGATTAAGATGGGGGAAAACATAATAACATATGAACAGATTGGTGTGGGGTAAGTGTGTTGACTTAGTGTAGAGAGGTTGCACCCCTTTGATTTTGGGAGTGTCTTTACAATAGAAGGACATCTATACGTGGCAAAAAAAAAAAATCATATTAGCACATGCAACAATTTTAAAAGTATTGCCTTATGTGATGCTACTCGTCTTCACTTTAGCCAATAAATATTTGAGAGCTGTTTCTTATTCTAACAAGTAACACAAAAAATATAAATAAAGGTTGCCTTTATTTTTCACAATATTTAAGAAATGTTGCCTATTACTTTCCTATATATATAAAAACATTCATTTCATTTTTTTATTCTTTTTTTATATTTTTTATTAATTATTTATTAATTAGATAAATTCAAAATTACATAATAGTGGGTACTTAAAATAATAGTGTTTGAGGACCTTTTTTTTAAAAAAAAAAGAAAACAACGTTCAAAATTGATTTTAAACAGTAATTTAACAAGCACTAAATAGATGTCACTAAAATTTTGTTATATATAAATAATAGCCTTTGAGGTCATTTTTTAAAAAACTTTAACAAGGATAAATTAAAAAATATTAATTTAATTTATTTCTTAATATATAAGAATCACTGAATCAGTTACAAGTAACTTAAAATCAAAAGAAGTCGGCCAAAAAAAAAACTTATGATAAGAAAAAGAGAAGTATATAAAACAATTATTTTAGTGAGATATTTTATTTGATATTCGTTTGGTTTCTCTCAAGTCATTATACACTACAGAACCTTTGAAACCTTACCACCTCGAGGACATTCTCATGAATGGTGGTGAGTGGCGACCAAGAAGGAATTTTCCCCTTTGTCCGGAGGATTCCTCGGACTCCGACGTGCCTAGCGATGATGTTGATTATCTTGTGGTCCCTCCTACTGCTCCCCACCTCCCGTTCAACTGGGCCGACATTATTGCTTCCAGACCCATCCACCTCCTCACAGCCCAGCCCAACTATCCCCATAGTTTTCACTTCCTCAGACATGGTGATCACTTCACAATTTGCACTCATCTAATAAGAGTTGGGTTAAGGCAAATCACAACGCGAACAATCAAAATTTGAATTTTTACTTAAAAAAATGTTTACATTTAGTATCTAATAATACTCCTAATAAGACTAACAGAAAGACACTTATGTGTTGCCAAAAAAAAAAAAAATTCACTCACCTCTTGCAACTAACCCAATCGCATCTTAGCCCCTCCCGTCCCTCCTTTGACCCGAAGCCCCTTCTTAGCCACTTATGTCTTCCCGATTCAAGTGCTTGTAGGAGATATTGACTGCTTATATAAAAGAGTGCATCAAGATTATTTACATCACAATATTTGCAGTACTAGACTGTTACTCCTTTTTCGGAGTGTTTTGAATAGTAGTATAGTTAGTTCAGAGGGAAAAAATAACAAATTAAAAGAAAAGAATTACAATATATTTTAGTTATATGTATTTTGCTATAATATTCAATTAGTCTGATATTTTATCATCCAGCTCCACCTTCTTCTATTTTTTTCTTCGCAGTGGGAGAATAGATTTTGGATGAAGTTAGTTTATAATTATAATTTTGGAAATAGATTTGATTGTGATTGATTTATAAGATTAATTTTGGGTATACGTAAAAAAAGCTATAGCATCCACTATTTTGTGAGCTAAGAAAATAAGAGATAATGTGATATGTAAAAGCTAATTAAGAGTCATCCGTTAATCCTAGTATGATCCTCCCTCCTCCTCTGTTGGTTTTTATATGCAACAACTACAATTTCCTTCTTGTTTCTAAATATAAGCAAAATTTTTAAGTTGTCTTAAATTTTGGTAACAAATTTTCTATTTTATCTCTAGTAAAGGCTTATTTTAATAGTTAATATATTTATTTCTTTCAAAATATCATTTCCTAGATAATAAATATTCTGAAAATTATATTTTAATATAATCTCTCCTCATCATACATAGATGTGGGAATACAGGCCAGCTCTGCAAGGTTAGCGGGCTTAAAAGGACCGGCCATAGAGGACCTAAATTTAAAAAATACCCCAATTTGTTAAGCTCGGCTTTTAAGCTAACGGGTTCAGGGCAGGCCCGCAAGCTTTCGGCTCATTTAAGAAAAAAATATTATTTTTCATATTTCTCATATTTTTAATAAAAAATGAAAATAAATCAATAAAATTATTAATAAAAGACATAAATATGAATAAAATTAAGTCACAAAAATAAAATATCATTATATATAAATATCCATCAACATCCAAGAAAATCTAAAACATTCATTAACAAGATAATAAAATCCAAAAGTTTCATCTATAGTGCAAATGTGCAATAAAGAAACACTATCATTAATCTTTTGAGACTTCATCATCACTATAACCAATTACTCTTCTTCATAAGTATGCTTTTTTTTCGTAACAAAAATATCAAGTTTTTCTTCTTTATAAAAATTTCACTTTTAAATTTTGCAATCTAGCTATTATTTTACTTTAGTTTGAGAAATATTGTTGTTGAAACTCATAAATTTCTAATTGAAATTATAAAATCACAAGTTATATAAGTATAAAAATACTCTCTTATCAAATATATATAGTTTAAAAATATCAACACATAATGTAAATCAAATCATTATTAAAATCCAAATTAACCCATTTTTTAAAAATTTAATTGGACAAATTATTGGCTAAAACTAAATAAATCAAACCATTTTGTGAAATTTAATTTTAAAATGATAATAATAAATAAATATTTGAAATATCATTAACAATGTAAAAAAAATAATAGTATTAAAATTACATAACAAACTCTTAAAAAAACAAAAAAAAATTTATAAAAGGGCCTAAACGAGCTGGTCCTTGGCTCTGCAGATTAAAAAGTTAGTTAAAATTAATTAAAAATAATAAATTTGTAAAAAAAATTTATCAAAATATAAATGTGTAAATATTGAAAATTTTTCTCTAAAATACCCTTATTATTATTTTTTTTTGAAAGAAACTGAATAACAATTATCAAAACAACAAAATACAAGAGAGCAAGAATCCATCCTTCATCAACCTCTACTTGTTGGATAAGAGGAGGAGGATGATCAAAAGCCAAAAATTCCTTCTAACCTATGAGAAAGTTTTGCTAAACTATCAGCAATGGTCATATCCTCTCTTAGTACATGGGAAACTATGACCTAGCAATCCCTGTTAATCAACAATCTAACATCATCAATAATGTCCTTGAAAGGATGGTCACTATCGCATCCTCTAAGAGCAAAATTGATTGCAGCTATACAATCAAAAAATAAAATAATTTTCCTGTAACCTCTTGTCCAACATAAAGTGAGGCCATGAATAACACCTAGTAATTCAGCAATAACCGGGGGAACTGAAATCAATTTGCAACTAAATCCACAAATCCAACGATCATTGTTGTCACAAATGAAACCCCCACAACCACTTCTTCCATTATCTAAGACCGAGCCGTCTATTGCCACCTTGATAAAATCATTCGGATGCTTATCAGAATGAGCATTAGATGGTTGCCTCCTACCTAGTTGAAATCCCTGCTTTATGAGATCTTGATCTAAGCATGCCTTAAAGAAGCTAGAATTTGCATTGATTCCTGTGTTAGTGATTTCTCTTCCAAAAAGCTTGTTACACCTTGTCACCCAAATATCCCAGCAAATGTAACCAAACAAGGTGGGCCATGGGACTTTCTTTGTGAAATTCAAACCAATGTCATTTGTTAGGTTCCCCTTCACCCAATCCACTCCTCGAAGTGAGATAAACATAGTCTACTTGTCAGTTTTGACCACTGATTTCCACCGGTTTACTACATTCAAGCAACCTTGTGGCAGATGCATTGGATTTTCTTCCTGTTCACAATCAAAAGGGCAGGAGTCTGTTCCTTCAATTCTGCATCGCCTTCTAAGTTGTGCCGTGTGTGCTCGTCCATGAGTAAAAAGCCACATAAAGGATTTGATCTTTTCAGGAACTGACCATCTCCAAAGAATCTTCCAGATGTTGTCTCTCGTATGCTGAGTACCTGCAAAAAGAAACTTATATGCAGATTTAATAGAAAAACAGCCATCAGTGGATGGCTTCCAATAAGTTTTATCCTCTCCTCTCTTCTCACAGGGTGGGTGTGCACAAGTGATACGGTCAATGACTTGCTTGTGGAGCCAAATCCCCATCTTTTGCCCATCCCATTCTCCATGATCAGTTACATAATCAACCACACATTCATTCCAATCGATCTGGCCTTCACATCCTGGTATTAGGTCAATCAATGGAGTATTCATCATGAACCAATTATCAAACCAGAAGGAAGATGTCATACCATTACCAATCTTCCTACCTAAGCCTACCTTGAACTTTTTCCAAATAGTACACATGCTCCTCCAAATGAGTGACGAGTTTTGTTTTTTTATAACTGAAGGAATATTTTGATCCCCACAATTATATTTATCTTTAAGAATCTTTACCCACAAAGCCTCCTTGTTGCATACAAGCCCCCAACAGAGTTTCATGATAAAAGCTTTGTTTTGTTTCCTTAGCCTTTTGATTCCCAAGTGATAATCTCCTTTTTTTTTTTTTTTAACCAGCGGAAAATAAAGAGCAGTGATAATCTTTTAGGTTTTGTTTGGTTGGAAGGTTTTTGGGAAGAGAGGAGGAGAGAAGAAATTATGTTTGGTTCAGAAAAATAGAGGGGAGGAAATAAAAAAAAAAATTGTCTTTTAGTACCCCCCTCCCCTCCAAATTTGGGGTTTTTTTGGACGGAAGAGAAATATTATCTCTCATCTTAACTAAATTACTCATGTTAATTTTTGAATATTCCAAATTTCTTCTTTTCAGTAAATCTTTGTTTTTTTTAAACCCTTTGTCTTCTTTTTTTTCACTTTTTTTCAGGCCCTACTATTCTTCTATGGATTTTTTTTTTACTCCTCAAAGATTCTTTTTTTTTGTTGCATATTTTCTTTCTCTGATTTTATCATTTTCCACACTCTTTACCATTAATCTTTCCCATCTTTTCCCCTTGCATGATCCCCCACCTCAGTCATCTTATCATTATTATTAGTATTTTTTTATTCATTTATTCTGTATAAAACTATTCTTTATTGGTTTATATGAGTTGAAGTTGTTGAGATCTATTAAAATGATATTATCAATCACCAAATTTGTTGATATGTGTGTCCATTTATACCTATTTTAATTCAATTTTATTTTTTATACAAAACTCTGTGTATTATCTAATTAAGCATGTGAGGTTACGCACATTATATAATTAAGGATGGAATAGTTTAAAACCTGTAGCATTAATTTATTTATAATTTATATAATATGCTAAAGATTATAATATATTTTTTTATTGACACTTATTTTGATATATGATTATTTATAATCTATTTGTTATGTCTCAAGATATCTAATTTTTTTATATCCACAAATTAAAAAATAATAATTATGATATAAATATCGTAATAAAATAATAAAGAAGTTTAAATAAAAAGATAAGAATATATTTATCAACTTAAAATTAGCTCACCTCCCTTCTTCTCCTAAACCAAACAAGAAATCTCCCCTCCACTCTCTTCCCCTACAACCAAACAAAACTCATAACCTCCCTTTTCCTCCCCTCCCCTCCCCTTAATTTACCTTCCCTCCCCTCCCTTCCATTGAACCAAACAAAGCCTTAGCTTACTTTTGTACGCCTTTTTCGACTTCATTGCGTTAGTGACTTCCACGGACCCTTCACCCCATTTCTTCTCTTTTAATGCACCAAAATTTGATCATTCTACACGCCGCCCAAAAGAAAGATCATTTAGATTGATTTTGAATATCCAGATTTAATTTAAGTATTTTTATATTTTTAGATGATTTTTTTTATTTTAATAGATACAAAAATAAAAATAAAGAGAATTCCGTAATTGACGTTTCTTTAAACGAAAAATTTATCGTTAAAAAGATTGCCTATTAAAATTTTTAATTATGAATCATTCAAATCAGATTTTTTTTTTTATCTATCGGATTTTATTATAGCTATGAGCACATGATGCTCATTGTGATGAGCAATTGAGCACGGATCAAATTCCAAATCTCATTCCTAAGTAAACAGTAAATTATTCAATGATTAGAGGCATTTTCATTAATTTGTTCATGGAAGCCAAAATTAATACAAATCCCCAACTTAATAATTCAAAGCACAAAAGGAAATCCGTTTTAATATGAAAAAGTGGTTTTTTTTTAAGGAGCTAAAATGTGATGAGGGAGTCAATTGAGAAAAATTTAGTTCGAAGCAATTTATACGTTATGTAATTTATTGAAATTGTTATTGTAAACATTTATTAAATTAATATATGATAATTATGTTTATAGAGGTGCCATTATAGCAAAAGTTCAATTGAGTAAGGATTGTCGATTCCAAGACCAGTGGTCTCCTCCCAGTGAAGGTTTGATAAAGATAAATGTGGATGGGGCCGCAGCGACTAGTGGGAACTCATCAACATGTGGAGGATTGATGCGGAATAATAAAAGGGAGTTTCGGGCGGAAGTTTGGGGGGTCATTTGGGGACTGAAATTAACCTGCTGCGATAATGGCTTCAAGCATGTCATCTTCGAGACGGATTGCCTTGATCAGTTAGTTGAAATTGTTTATGTTTGCACGACTTAAGTTATGTGTCAAAAACTATTTTTTTTTAATTATCATTGTAAAAACACTTAAGAACTATTTATAACTTATGCAAAAGTAGTTTTTTAAAATTAAAAGGTATTTTTGCCCTTATGTCTATATTGTTCTTATGCTTCTCTCTATATATATTCTTTGTGCTTTCCAATCAGTTTTTATCTATTTATTTTTAATGTTCTCTAAAGTGAAAATAATTGATTGGATAATATACTTTGTATAAAATACCACACCTCCTTTTTGTTGATAATTTCATATTATTTGCTGAAGCGAATATGGAGCAGCATTTGCTTGAAAATATGTACTTCGTCTATATTTTATTAAATATATTTATAAATAATATTATTCACCTAAAATGCCTGTAAGACTGTAATAATATTAATGATCGATATTAGGCATAAGCGTTTCAACAGTTATTAAATAAGAAAAAATTTGGAAAGAATATACTACTCTGAATCTTAATATAGGATTTAATTGAGAAGTTGATGTTAGTCCTATATGTAAAATCTATTTCACATATTTATCAATTTTTCAAATTAGCTCTATTGATATTCCTCCTAATAATAGTCAACCAGAGGAGAGGAAAAAATTAAGATGTTTAGGGTGTTTTAAAAAAAATATACTACTTTTGATTTTAATATAAGAGCTAGTTTGATATTTGATTTGGTCTTAAATATAAGATTTGAATTTACTTAGTCTCACATATTTATCCATTTTTTAAAATAGTCCTTGTAGTAACTGCACATGTTAAAGTTTTATCAAATGGTCTAACTAATACACATAATTAGAAAAGGTATTGGTTAAAGTATAAATTTGGTTCTTTAACTTTATGTAAAGTTTCAGTTTGATTCCTTAACTTTAAAAAGTATACTTTTAGTACTTTAACTTTAAAATTATTATCTTAAATGATGATTTTTTGTAACAATTATGATTGTTTTGAAAATTAAACTTAATATTGTATTTAATAATGTTTTATCAACATTCAAGAGCTCAATATCATCATTTTTTATTAACAATTTTAGGGTTAAAAGACTAAAAGTTTATTTTTCAAAGTTAAGGGATCAAAATAAAACCTTATGAAAAATTAAAGGACCAAAAGAATACTTTAACCAAAGGTATTTTAAAAAAGATAATAATAATTTATTACAAATAACTAAACTTGACAAACTTCCTTAATTTACTCCAATTACTTAACTAGCTCTTATATTAAGGATCTAAAGTAATATCATATTAACTAATTTAACTAATATTATTAATCTACTTATACTACCTCCAGTCCTTAATATAAGAATCAGATGACTAATTTGAGTAGATTAAAAAATTAGTTAAATTAGTTATTTATAATAAATTGTTGTTATCTTCCTTAAAATATCCTTGTTAATAATATGTATTAACTAGAACTATCATTTAATAAAGCTTTTAACATGTGCACGAGATCCTTGATGTATCTTTAATCATTCTCCACCGAGACGTCCTCAGGTGGATTTTGACGAAGGATTACCCTTAGTTGAAATACAGCTTAATACAGCTTTTCATTAGAAAAAACTGAAAAAAAAAAAAAAAAAAGAAGACCCTCATCAACCGAGATCTCACCCCTCCAATCCTTTTTAATCCAAGCCATTGGTGCAAATCAAATTTGCTATGATTTTATACTTGAAGTAATATTGAACCCATAAAAGCTTGCAAGGTGTTTAATGCTGGTGAGTGAAAACTTGTTAAACAAATTTTTATCTGAATCTGTTAATTTACTCTCTTCTTTTGTATGATTGTGTTAAGGAAATTAAATTTCTTTTTGATGTTTGTACATATACACAATCGGTTTAATTCAAAAACATATATATGTAGGCTTCAAATTAAATTCAGTAATATTCCGCTGTCGCATACTTTAGTTTGACCGCTCACCTTGGACTCTGGTGTGCGCGAACAATAGACTTTGGGGCATCATCTTTGACCGAACATATATTCATAAAATATTATAAATAACTTGTAATCTAATATTTTTCTGAGAATTAGAACACAACTTAAGTGCAAATCAACCATAAGAATAAGTTTAGTTAAGCTAATGTTCCTTCTGGTTAAAAAAAAAAGAAAAAGGAAGAAGCTAATCTT